CTGAAGAGATAATTAACAGTAATAAACAAGTTTCATTGTCAAATTCTCACTGTTGTTCCTTTTTGTAGTACAGGATAGAGGAAAGAGAAGAATGATTCTTATTCGCTGGATCACTAGTCCAGGGCAGCTGGGTGAAAAAGTTCCCAGGTCCTCAAAATACTTCCATTGCTTTATCAGAATTATATCGTTGCTGGTATGTCATAAAATAACAGATTTTTTTTTTTTAATGCACCTCTCAAATGGTTTTCCATGTTTTTGGTATTACAACTGTGAGCAGTGTGGGGGTGCTGGGACACTGTATTTGGGGATGGGTCAAGACACAGGCTCAGAGGATACTGGTCACTACACTGTGCTAAGAGCCTACCTGAGAGATTCCAACAAAATCAAGGAGAGTGCTAAAGTCCCCCCTAAACAGCATGTTCCATGGCACGCAGCCTTCCTGCCACTCACCAGATGTGGATGGAGGTCCAACTGGCTGAAAGAATCTGAAGTGAAAACATCTTCTTGCACCTGCTGCACTGCTTTTCTATGAGTTCAGGAAACAAACCAAAACAAAACAAAGTGCATGGTGTAGTTACAAAGTATATGACAAGAAAACCAGGAAAAAACGCATGTACCAAGCAATGTCTTTGCCCGCACAAGGGCAAGAATTCAAGACTGTTGCACTGAAAGGGTTTTTCCTCCCACTTGTCTAAATTACCTGTGAATTTCTGGGATATCAGGGTTGTTTCTAAACAAGCTAGACGTCTTAATGAAAGGTCTGCTTTTCAGGCTCTTATTTTGGCTGTCAGACAACCGCTTCTTCGGAAGAGATTTTTTTGATGAGTTTGCCTTTTCCTTGATGTCAGCTTCTGTTGTGCGTTTCTCGAAGGAGCTTATTGAAGGCTTGCATTTCCGTTTTAATGGAGGGTTTCCATGTGGTGACTGGAGCTTTCTTTTCAGAGCCTTAGACTGCTTTAGTATTAACAAATCAAATAGCGAGGAATGCATTAATACATGCAAATTAACTACACAGTAACATATTTTGCTCATGTTAAACACAGGCATCAGTTCATAGAAGCACTGTTTCTTTCTGGTATCCTCTGTCCCATGAGTAAAAAATGCTGGTCTTCCAATCGTTTTAAGGAAAAGTTTTGCTTTCCCCATATCCCTCCAGGGACAGTGAGGAAGAAAGTTAACTCCCTTTTGTCCCCAAAGCTCTCTTCTACCCCCCCCACAACTCTTTTCCAGTGAGCTTGTTTTTCCCGACACATTTGCAACACTCTTGAAATAACATGACCTCCCTGCACAGTCTCACCTGACTTCTCTCTATTTCTCCTCCACTCTTGGTTGCACGCTCTGATCTTCCTTATCCTCCTACGAACCATCTTCCTCTCAAACTCTATTACTTTTTTTGCACTTGTTCCTTCTCGTGTTTTGGCACTGAAGAACCGTTTGGGTCAGCTCCCTAGTTACCACAAAACGCACTGAGCTCCGCGAACTGGAATTCCATCAGCTCGCCCTGACCCAGGCTCTGCACCCGCCCAGAGGGTTTTCACCTACAACGGACGGAAGCC